AAAGGTTCAGACACCATTTAAAGGTTAGCTCCACTTTCCAGTTTTATAGAAGAGGACACAAAGGCAAGAGAAGGCATTTACTAAAGAGTGGTCACTGCCTCAACACCAAAAAACCACATAACCCAATTAAAATACGGGCAGAGGAAAAATGAACAGACATTCCTCTAAAGAAGACATACAGATGGCCAACAGGCGCATGAAAAGATGCTCTGCTTTGCTAATCGTCAGGGAAAAACAAATCAACACCGCAATGAGAGAGCACCTCACACCGGTCAGAGTGGCCACTGTCCAAAAGACAAGAAATGACAGTGTGGGTGAGGATGTGGAAAAAGGGAACCCTCCTGCACTGTTGGTGGGAATGTCAATTGGTGCAGCCACTGTGGAAAGCAGTATGGAGTTTCCTCAAAAAAGTAAAAAGAGAAATACCATATGTTCAAGTAATTCCACTTCTAGGAATTTACCTGAAGAAAACATCCCTGATTTGAAAAGATACATGCACCCATATGTTTATTGCTGCATTGTTTACAATAGCCAAGTTATGGAAGCAACCTGTGTCCATCAATAGATGAATGGATAAAGAAGAGATGGTGCATATACACAATGGAATATTATTCACCCATAAAAAAGAAGTCCTGCCATTTGCAACGACATGGATGGACCTAGAGGGTATTATGCTCAGTGAAATAAGCCAGGTGGAGAAAAACAAATACCATATGACTTTGCTTATTTGTGGAATAGATAAATAAAGTAAATAGAATAGCAGTAGACTCTTAGACATTGAGAAGTGATTAGTGGTTACCATGGGGGAGGGGTTGGGGCGGGTGGGTGAGGAGAGTGAGGGGGATAAAAGGGGCACAAAAATTCTCAATCATAGTATAAGTGGTACAGCATGGAGAATAGAGTCAGTGATTCTGTAGCATCTTCTGTGTTGACAGATTGTAACTGCATTAGTGGGGGTGAGGATTTAATAATATGGGAAATTGTTGAACCACTGTGTTGTATACTTGAAACCAATGTAAGATTGTATATCAATGATACTAAAATTAAAAAGAGTGGTCACAGGTGACGAGGATGGACACAGTGCTGACCCTTAGCCTACGGCCCCATCCAAAAAACTGAATCCATTAGGATAAGTAGAGAGGGGACCAAAGGGGATCCGTCTACATTGTTTTTGGGTTAAATATCAGGCCAGGTCTCATCTGTCATTCAAGAATGAACAAATAGAAAAAGTAACACAAAAAAGGACCCACTGAAAAGTTCCAGCAATATAAAGGGAAATAAACAAGGCATGCAAGAAATAGAGGAAGAGCAGACTTCGGGAAAAAAGCTTCTAATCTTTTACTCAGTAAAGTGAAGTAAATTTCAAGCATCATCTTCTTTATCCTGTCAGAGGAGTTATGGATGTTAGGAAAGATGGGCTGATGAGTCAACAGACTGAGATGAAGAAGGAGCTTGTGGATTCGGAGAACGTGAGGAAATAAATATCACACCAGCATTTGGACTTAGTGGCGCCGCAGAAAGTCAAAGGCAGGAGGTGGACAAACTGCTGATCTCAGAAGTGATGGGCAAGCAGCAGAGGGGACCCCGGGTGTGGGTGACGGACCAGATTGGTGACCAGACAGTTGGAAGAGAAGGAATCCTCAGTTTTCTTGAGCTGAAGAAGGACCTGAATCTGTGAATAATAAGGGTTCATCATGAGCCAGGCAAAACTGGCAAAAATTAGGTAACAGTTAAAATATCCAGGTGAAGTATTTTTTTAAATTTAAGAATAAAGGGAGGATAACATTGATACCTGGCAGAAGGAATCTTTAAATCAAAGAGGAAAAAATTAGGCTGGGCTCAGACTTGTGTAGAGTATAGGTGCCAGCAGGCAGTGGAGCAGTACCCACTGAGTTCTGAGGGAAATGGGTTATGACCCAATAATTTTACACTCAGCCAGGTTTTAGTTCACATTGGATAGTAACAGATATTCATTTCATTTGTGCAAGGACATACCTTGTGTGTAGCTTTTGCTATACCCATGCACCATTCTGGAGGAAAAATGACTAGAAGGCATGCTCTGGCAACTGAGGGATGAATCGGAATAAAAGACCATGAACGGGCAAGTCAGAATAGGAAAAGCTTGGCAGTAAGACTGGAACCATTTGAGTATAAAATTATTTCCAAATAAGTGTTGCAATTATGATTATAAAATAGAATACAAATGGTATTGTGGATAAAATGAAGGTTCCTGTGGCCGGATTCTCACCTGGCCCTGGTTGGCTGATGTGTGGGCAATACGTTGCTGTTGACTCTGAATGGGGAGCTCTGCTCCGACCCAGGGACACAGCTGCAGGAGAGCAGAGGCTGGAGTGGTGGCAGCACCGAGGACAGAGGCCCAGAGGACAGCTGTGCGGGCAGAGAGGCCCAGAGGATGGATGTGCGGGCAGAGGGGCCCAGAGGACGGCTGTGTGGGCAGAGGGGCCCAGAGGATGGCTGTGCAGGCAGAGGGGCCCAGAAGATGGCTGTGCGGGCATAGGGGCCCAGAGGACGGCTATGTGGGAGACTATGCAGGCAGAGAGGCCCAGAGGACAGGTGTATGGGCAGAGGGGCCCAGAGGCAGAGACCGGCTTGCTGCATGCAGACTCACTCTGAGTGGATGAGATTGTAGTGATTGACCTGCCACCATGGAAATAAAGTTGGGTATAACCCTTTCACCCCAAGAATGTCTTACTGTCATTTCTTTGGTCACACTGAATCCATAGTGAACTTGCCCAGGGCTGAAACCTATTGGCAAGACAGATATGATTATTGAAAGACGATAAAACATTAAATCATGACTAACAGAAAAAGGAATAAAATTCATGCTCAAACCAAAGATCATAGATGTGAACACACTATGTTCTAAAGAACTATACAAATGTGAGGGATGAAATGTGAGCTGGCTCCATGCCCACCAGTATGTCTGGATACTAAGCCAACAACATGCTGTCCCGGCATGTGGTATATGTGGGGCCACTTTCACTGTGATTCCTCTGGACACCACCTCTCTCACCTTCTCTGGAGAGGTTTACTTGGTACCTTCATTCATGAAGGTGGCACATTGCTGGTGGGGATATAAAATGGTGCAAGTTCTTTGGAAAACAATTTTGCAGTTCCTCAAAAAATTAACATCAACTTACCTGTGACCTGATATTCCACTCTTAGGAATATGCCCAAGAGAAATCAAAACATAAATCTAGACAAAAACTTGTACATGCATGTTCATAGCAGTACTATTCATAATAACCCCAAATAGAAACAACCCAAATATCCATGAGTTGATGCAATGGGTAAATAACAGTGGTATATCCATACTGTGGAGTATTATGCAGCCACAAAAAGAATGAAGTACTGATTCATGCTGCAATATGGATGAACCTTGAAAACATTCTGAGTAAAAGAAACTAAACACAAAAGGCCAATACCGCATGATTCTGTTTATATGACATATCTAGAAGAAGTAAATCCATAGAGACAGAAAGTAGATTAGTGGTCACCAGAGAGATGGGAGATGAGAGTAAGTGCTAACAGGCACAGGGTTTCTTCTGGGGGTGGTAAAAGTGTTCTGGAGTTAGATAGTGGTGATGGTTGCATGATTTGGTAAATATGCTAAAAGCTGCTGAGTTCTATAGTTTAAAAGAGTATATTTTATGGTGTTTAAGTTATATCTCAATTTTAAGAAATAGCTATTTTTCTCATTATTAAATGTTAATTGTAGAAAAATAAAACAAAGATAAATTTAAAAAAAGCAACCAGCATGTTATTGTTAATACTTGATATATGTGTTCAGACTTCTTATATGTGTCTGTCTCAAAGTTGGTTTGATAGACCATTTCATTCTTCCCTGTCTTGAGTGAGTGGTGTGTTGAGATGGGCATAGTCCATAAGCATGTTATTTTGTTAGTGCTTTAGCCTCTTGTTAAGGAGTTTATGTTGGAAACAGTATTTCACTATAAGTAGAAACATTGCACCAGCGTCAGAAGACCTGGGTTCTTGCTCATTCACATTAGTTTGGGAGATTGAAAGAGGCACTTAATTTTATTCTGCTCATCTTTAAAAAGGAATTACAATACTTACTTCATGGTATCTTATCCACTAGGATGACTAAAAAAAAAAAAAGACCACACCAAATGCTGACAAGGACGTGGAGCAGCCAGACTGCCGTGCCCAGCAGGTGGGAGTATAAACTGAGTTATGTGCTTCGGAATGCTGTTGGCATCATCCACCGAAGTGGAATGTACACTTACTGTATGACTCAGCTCTTCATTTGTGTATCAACCCAACAGAAAGGCACACGAACATGTACCAAATGGCACGTTTGAGGGTGTTTGTAGCAGTACCATCTGCAATGGCCCGAACTGGAAATGATCCTCGTGTCTGTTAGCAGTAGATGGGTAAATACATGGGGTAAACTCACAAGTGGAAAACTGTTATCAGTAAGAGATAATGACCAACAGTTCAGTGAAAACTCAGGATGAATTTCACAAACATAATGTTCATTGAGACACAAAAGATTATATACTGTGTGATTCCATTCATATGCAGTTTAAACAGACAGAACTAATGCTATGTTATTACAGATCAGAACAGTGGCTACCCTTGGGAGGCAGGTAAAGATAGAAGGGGGCACAGTGGGTTTCTGGATAGCTGGTGATGTCTGTCTGTCCATCTGCATGCTGGTTACCTGGGTATGTTCACTTTGTTAGAGTCCTTTGACCTGCACTTACAGCGTGCACTTTGTGTGAGGTTGTACTTCCGTAAAAAGTTTATTTAAAGCACTGAAAAAGGGAAGCCCTTCCGTCACACTGTTCTCACTAAAACTGTTATTAATAATGAGAATGAAAGTTTTTGTGTTGTTGATGAATAAAATAAAACGATTATTTTGACATACTTATTTCATCTTTGTCTCTTCCTTTGATCATTTGTACTTGTTCTGTCATGGACATAACATGTTGGTACATTAGAGCATGTATTTAACTTACAAATGAACATTTGTTATAGGTGCTTGCTTAATATTTTTCCAACTGTTGGTCGAGAAGGATCGAAAAGTTTGGTGAACTGTAGCTCAAGGTCGTAGCAGAAGCGGGCAGCCTGAGCAGAGGGGGGCCAGTGGGGGACCTGAAGCAGTTCGGTCAGCACTGTGAGTTCCGGCCTGTTTCCCTGCTGCTAAGCATGAAGTGCGGGACTGAGGAGGGTGGCGGTGAGGCCGGACAGGGGCAGGGGCCAGGCCTCCGAGTGGCCTGGGTGCCAGGAGCCCGGGGACATGGCTGGGAGGAAGGTCTGAGAGGCCAGAGGACAAAAATGCACGGTCTAACAAGGAAGCAGCCAGCAGCGGAGCCCAGAGCCCAAGCAGCCCGGAGGGGGACGAGAACGGCGGTCAGTTTCAGGGGCTGAGAGCTGAGTTTCCGGAAGAGGGACTGGTGAGCCACGTAGAAAGCCACCAAGGGGTAGGCGAGCCCAGGGCCGCTGGCCTCAGCCGTTTGGACGTCCCAGTGACCCCGGGGGAGCAGGGTGGCTGGTGGCCAGGCAGGATTCCCAAGTGGTGGTGGTGTGGTGAGGTGCGGTGAGGAGGTCAGTGGTGTCTGGTGGGAAGCAGCCTGCAGTTCAAGGGTCAGAGGCCTTGTGAAGACTGCAGAGAACTGAAGATGTTCTCAGGCAGAGGACGACCAAAGGAATGGAGGGGATTGAGGTTGGCAGGGCAGGCGACTGGCCCCTGAGCCTGGGGTTGGACCTGGGTCTTAGCAGGAGGCCTTTCTCAGAGGTGGGAGTACAGGACCAGCAGAAGGTGAATGGGGGATCCCAGGGAGCAGAAGTCAAGTTTCCTGAGTGAGGGAGGTCAAGAGGCTGCCCACCTGGGTGTGGGCAGCTGTGGAGGGTCTGGGGGTGGAGAGAGATGCCTGAAAACGAAAATGTCCCAGTGCAGGCCCTCTGGGGGTGCCTAGTGCAGGATGCTGTCGTGCCAGTGTGCCAGGCACCCCCTCCATTGTCATGCACTCTTTCCCACAGCCGTGGGCACTGAGGGCAGGGGTTTTGTGTCTGCATCCTCCTGCGTTCCCTTCTTGCTGGGTAGTGCCCGAGGCCCTGGCTGGTGCTTTGGGCCTGCCAGCCGCATTTTCCCTTGGGGTCTGTGCTTTTCCCCAGGCAGAGCTCTCACATGCTTACTACAGCATGTATTCAAAGGGTAATGGGAAGGGAGAACAGTGATCAAAGAAGTTTAAGTTAATTTTGGTGATTTTAGGACAAGCTTTGCTACTTGATAGGCTAATGGTGATATCAAGTGTTGATCTGTGGGGAAGAATTTGACATTTCAAAGAACAGGTTGAAATCAGATCTTGTAGCACTGTAATTAGTCTAGCCTTGCTGAACTTTGAAGAACAAAGCTTACCATATGGAACACTGGTGTAAATCGAATTATTCCTCCTACTTTTACAGTGGCTACTGTTTGGAAAGAGATGTGCTGGGGTGGTATACCATGTTGGCCTGAGATTATGAAGCTCAACATGTGTTCCTGGTAAGTTGGTTCGCTGACCTTAGGGAAATGTGCCCTTGTGAGCAGAGGGCCATGCTGTCTGGGCACCCAAAGGTGCCTGCTGATACAGTGAGCCGGAGGTGGTGTGGCGGAGAAACCTCGTACAGCAGAGTCTGTGGGGCTGAGGCGCTGCAGAGGGGCTGCTGGGACACCAATCACCCCCAGAGAGCCGCACAGGTGGGGGCATTTAGAGCTGCTGGCCAGACTAAGCTCAGGGTTTTTCTCTGGTCTTGTATCAAGCGTTTTTTCCTTTCTCTCTCTACCCCCTCTTTGTGCAAAACCTCTTGTCATGACACTGTTGAGTGCCACCCTTTTGCTCCTGTTGTTCAGAACACAAATGTTCTGTATCTGACTCCCAAGAGCTGGGGTTATGTGGGCCCCCCGTACCTCCCACAAACCCCTCCTCTCTCTTTCCAGTTCAGCTCCCCTCCTCACTTTCGGCTGGCCTTCATCAGAAAGGGCCAGCTCACTGTGTGCCACTCACTGTGTTAACCTCCTCTCGTGGCCCTGGCCACATTCTGCACTGCATCATGATTTTTTGATGTACCCTGTATCTCGTCCCTTATCTTCTTGACTAGACTTTAAGCCCTTTTAAGGCAGGGACTGTGTGTCTTGCTCCTTTTTGTATCCCATGCAGTGCCTTGTTCAATGATTTATATACAGTAGGGGCTCAATAAATGTTACTAGACTGAAATCAACATGGAACATACTGTGGCTCCCAGCATCCATCCCCTTTGTGGCCATGGCCTTTACATCTTGAGATAACATTTTAAAAATAGGGGGAGAATCAGTAGAACAAAAGGCATCCTACAGTATGGGAGAATATATTTATAAATGACATATCCAATCAGGGGTTGACATCCAAAATATATAAAGAACTCATGCACCTCAACAAACAAAAAGCAAATAATCCAGTTAAGAAATGGGCAGAGGAGCTGAACAGACACTTCTCCAAAGAAGAAATTCAGATGGTCAGCAGGCACATGAAAAGATGCTCCACATCGCTAATCATCAGAGAAATGCAAATTAAAACTACAATGAGGCATCACCTCACACCAGTTAGGATGGCCACCATCCTAAAGACAAACAACAACAAATGCTGGCGAGGATGTGGAGAAAGGGGAACCCTCCTACACTGCTGGTGGGAATGCAAATTAGTTCAACCATTGTGGAAAGCAGTATGGAGGTTCCTCAAAAAACTCAAAATGGAAACACCATTTGACCCAGCAATTCTACTCCTAGGAATCTACCCTAAGAATGCAGGATCCCAGATTCAAAAAGACACAATAGCCAAGAAATGGAAGCAACCTAAGTGTTCCATCAGTAGATGAATGGATAAAGAAGACGTGGTACATATACACAATGGAATATTATTCAGCCATAAGAAGAAAACAAATGCTACCATTTGCAACAACATGGATGGGGCTAGAGGGTATTATGCTCAGTGAAACAAGCCAGGCAGAGAAAGACAAGTACCAAATGATTTCACTCATCTGAAGTATAACAACAAAGCAGAAACTGAAGGAACAAAACAGCAACAGACGCACAGAACCCAAGAATGGACTAACAGTTACCAAAGGGAAAGGAACTGGGTAGATGGGTGGGAAGGGAGGGATAAGGGGAAAAAGGGGCATTACAATTAGCACATATAACATAGGGATGGCACGGGGAAGGCAGTGTAGCACAGAAAAGACAAGTAATGATTCTATAGCATCTTAATACACTGATGGATGGACAGTGAGTGTAATGGGGTATGTGGGGGGGACATGGTGATGGGGGGAGTCTAGTAACAATGTTGCTTATGTGATTGTATATTAATGATACCATAATAAAAATAAAATGAAATAAAAATAGGGGGAGAGGCAGAGAATGTTTGCCTAGAAGAATCCTAGGAGATTCTGTTCAAGAGCAATCACAAAAATGATAAAAGCTGAAATATTATAATATTTTTCAGATTTTTCTAGTAGACTTACCCTTCTGAACCCATTGTCACAAAAGAAGTAGAAGGTGAAGTTTCTCAAACTTTGCTGCCAGGGGCCCGGTCTTCCTTGACATTTCATGATTAACTAAGTACAAGCAATTCATATACTGCTTAGAAGAAGAAGGTTCCTTAAAACTTATGTATCAGTGGGACTGGTTCCCCTAAGGAAGATGCTGGAAACAAATGTTTTGTTTAAAGGTAAAAGCGTATGAGAAAATGAGACTTGGAGATAAGTAATTTCCCTGAGGGCACAGAGCAAGTAAGTGGCAGAGTTGAGATCTGACTCAACTAGGTCAGTCTAGTTGTAGAGAGAGAGTTCCTCACCACTGTCTGCTTTCGGGTCTGATTAGATCCAGATTCCGTGAGAGGGACCGTAGCTGCCCTCCCTGCTCTTGTGCCCTTGGAGGGGCTGCCGTCTCACACTGAGCCCAGGGGATCTGGGTGGAATTGTTCTAGTCCATGCAGTCAGAGGACTGCCTCTCCCCTGTTATCCCTGGGGAGGGGCACCAGTGGGCTGAAGGTCTACTCCCCACTTGTCAGGAAGATTGTAGTTTACCAGTTCGTTTCAATTGGTCCCCTCAAACAAAGGCTGTCAGGCCTCAGCCTTGCCACTGCTGCAGAAGCTCAAGCAGTCGGCCATGAACTGGGGCCACGGGAACCTGCACCCTTCATCAGGCAGAGACAGTTGACAGCACATGTGCGGGGATGCACCTGTAGAAGGGAGGGAAGCCAATCTTCACACTTGGACCAGTGGTTCCTTTGAGGCAGGATGAGTGGAGAGGATGCGGAGGAACTTCAGCTTACAAGGAGAGAACCAAAGGGATGAGATTAAAGTATACGAGGGACTTCTGGAACTAAAACACTTGGCTTTTGAATTTAAAAATCAATAAAAGAACTGAAATTAGTGGTTCAGAAGGTCAAATAGAACAAATGCCTCACAACCAAGAATAATCATAAAAAGAAATGGAAATGACAGATTAAAATATGAGACCCTGGAGACCTTATCCAGGAGACCTGGCGTGGGAATAATAGGAGTTCTAGAAGGAGAAAAGGAATCTATGGAGGAATAAGAGAAAAAAAAAAAAACAGAAAAAAATTTCGCTGAATTGAAGAAAGACTTGATTCTTCAGGTCAAATGGATTCATTCAGTTTGTACTAAGACCAACACCTAGACCTATTTTTCTAGTAAAATTCCTAAACTCTAAGAAGCAAGAGAAAAATCTTAAAATTTTGTAGGAAGAAAGAACAGTGGTTTTCAAAAGAAAGAGAATCAGGCTCTCATTGGGCCTCCCATGTGCAATCCTGGAGGCTGGAAGACAGTGGACTGGCACCTCCAGACTGTTAAAGGAAGAGGGGATGCATGCAGTCCTCCTTATACCCAGCCAAGATGTCACTCACAGGCATTGCAAAAGAAAGACCTTTCAAACATTCAAGGACATAAAACATATATTATCTATTAAATGGGTCCTGAGAAAATATCCAGTAAAGTTCTCTAACTAAAGGACAGTTAAGGCAGAGCAGAGATAGTGAAATAGGGGAAGTGCAGAGTACAGGAAACAGGAGCCATGTACCTTTTAGTGCATATAGTTTAATCTCAATGGATATTGCTACTGTGAATTGGAATTTTTATTTTGTGTTACATTTAAGTTACTAAGAATTTTTAAAATAGAGAACTGCTGTATGGGAAAATATAACAGGCTGAAAATAAAAATTCTAAATGATCTCTGTAAAACCTAAGACTTTGGGAGAAAGGATGAGAGAGTGGGGAAGTTAGTGTTCCATTTTTAGAACACTTAAACATAGTTATTTACTTGTGTTACAGAAAGAGAAAGGTTCAATTTTCACTTTTGGGGATCAGAAGGTATATTAGTTAGGACTAGATTTGGTCACATGTAGTAGATAACCCCTGAATAACAATGGCTTAAACATATAAAGATTTATACCATCTCTGAAAAAGTAAAGAGATGAGCATTCTAGGGTTGGGATGGTAGAATCAAAAGTCATCGTGGACCCAGGTTCCTTATTTTGTTGCTCTCCCATTCATAGCAGATTGCCTCCTGATTCAAGATGGCTGTGCAAATCCCATTCGTCACATCTGCATTCCAGAAGCCAGGAGAAAGGGGAAGAAGCGGTGTCCTTTCTCTTTCAGAGCTTCTCAGTAATCTCACACAGCATTTACATCTCATTGAGTAGAACTTGGCCACAGTGAGCTGCAAGGGAGCATAGAGTGTGTTTAGTATTTTTAGCTAAACACACTAAAGAATAAAAGGAGAAAGAAAAAAGTTGGGTTCTGTGCCTCGAAAGATAATCACTAGTAGAAAGCAAATGAAAACAATAGTTTTCTTTTTCACTTTTTAATTGGCCAAATGTTACAAAGATTGGTAAAACCAGAGTTAGCAAGTGCGTGGGGAAGGTGGGTCCTCCTCCGCACATTGCTGGTGGGCGTTGTGACTTGTCCTCACTTTTGGGGGGCATAACCTGAAATGTCTAATAAATACTAAAATATCCATATTGGACATGAGGGAAGGTCGTAATACATTATTAGCTTTGAAAAACAAACTGCAGAATAACGTCTCTAGTAGCTGCAAACTGGTGGCCCATTATGGCACGTAACACTGTGTCAGGCACAGTGCCACGTGCTCTTCCCTTTTTCTCCTTTCACAACTAACTTACAAGGTAGGTACTATTGGATTTTTACTCAGGGGAAGCATTTAAAGCACAGAGAGGTCAAATACTTTTTCATGGTCACCCAGCCAACAGACACTAGGTCCAGGATGTGACCAGGCTTCAAAATGTGAACTCTTATCAGCTCTGCTACCCTGCCCGGGAGGCGCTGTCTCGTGTCCCTCAGGGATGCTTTGTATGGCCGGTGCAATGCTTTGCAGTTGTGCAGAACGGAGAGCTTCCAGTGGTGTAGTCAGTCCCAGGCCCCATCTGTCCTTGCTCTGTCACACCTGCAGCTCCACGACAGGATCTGCCCGGGCCCCACAGGCATTCGAGGGTTATGACCTTGGTCTCTCGGATGAGTCCACTTGGTTATATGTATTTATGTTGCCTGGCAGAAAGGCTTGGAGGAGTGCAATCCAGATAAACACCTTCCTTTCTGTCATTTGTTTCTCTGAGATTGTCTCTGTAGTGTCCCTGTTTAAGCAGGAGATTGGGGCTTGCCTTTTCGTAAGGTGAAGGTTTAGGCTGTCAGTTATGTTAACACCTGACACCTTCCCACTTTTGAACAACTCAGTTTGAACCTAAACAGACCACAGCATCAGTCCTATTCGACCAGGAGGCCCTGCCCCTCGTCACATCAGTCAGAGCTGGGTGGCGCGCGCAGTGAGGTTGCTCAGAGAAGGGTCTGTGGGCTGGCTCCTCCTGCTGCTTGCAGGACCCTCTTACTGGGCGTCTTGGAGAGACAGCTGAGTGTGGCCGCACACTGGCGAGCGTTGCGCAGCAATCCGCTGCTCTACCTGCCTGCAGGAGAAGGACATACCATAGGGGGTCACAGAGGGTTTCCAGAAGAAGTGGCATCTAAAATGAGATTTGGAAAGCGAGTAGGGAGGACCCAGGAGAAGAGGGAGGAAGATGCTTCCCGGGAGATGAATGGGCGTTCATACCGGGCTGTGAGGGGCACAGGGTGGATGCGGCCACCCACCTGCTCCAGCATTTTGGCACCTGTTCTAGTCTGCGTGTCTCTCCTTCCTTGGCTGGAAGCCACGTCCAAGGGGCTGGCTGGGGGAGAGGCCGGCGGAGGGGCTGCGTGCTCGCAGTACAGAGGATGCCTCCCTTAGGCAGGGCCCGATTCTCAACGGGTTGGGTACCTCTCAGCACCGCCCCTTCCCGCAACACCCAACTTCTCTCAACGACCTTCTACTGACCCTCCCCTATGAGGACCAGGTCCTGACCACTTGGGAGGGGGTGGAATGCCAGCAGTGGGGGAGGAGGCAAGCGAACAGGAAGGACGGGATGGGATCTTCACACCGGGCCATCGCCGGCTGGGTGTGTGGGAGGTCGGTCTGTAGGGAGGCTGGGGAGGCGTCCAGGCCGGAGAGATGTTAAAGTGCTTTTCCCGCTTTCAGTTGAGGCCGCTCCTGGGTGGCAGCGTCTTCCTGAGTCCTGCCTGAGCTGAGCCTGAGCCTGAGCCGAGGGTCGCTGTTCCCGGGCATTGGCCCCAGATGTTGGCAGCTCTTCCTACCACTCCATCTCCCTCCCCCCGTCCTGCAGCCGTGTTTGCACCTGCTGGAGCACCTCTCTTCTTGACGTCCTTTTGTGTAGTCCTGGAGCCATTTGCTTGGGCAGCAGCGCCGGGTGGCTGGCGGCATGGTGGGGTAGCTTAAGCATCACTGTCTTACTGTGGCTTGGCCCTCTTATTAAGGCCAGTGCTCATTTTTTTGAGAACACAACAGACTACACTGGGTGCTGTGCTGGGAACTGGAGATAAAATAACAATATTGGAGCATTTGCCCTGTGCCAGACACTGTGATCAATACTTACAACCACCAAGAGGTGGCCGCACTTCAGGAACTTAATACATAGAAAGCACCTAGATACACGCCTGGCATCCACCAGCACTGCTGAGTGTCCGCTGGTGCTGTCAGGCCTCATCACAGCCACACGAGGTGGGTCCAGTCCTATACCCCCCACTCTGCAGAGGGGTCGTGGAAGCTGAGAGAGACATTTGCCTGCCTGCATAGAGGGGGTGGGGGGCAGGTCCAGGAGCCAGACCAGAGCTGCTGTCGTCCGAGCCCCGTGTGGCAGGGTGAGAAAGGGAGGTGTGAGCTCGCGGCACAGCAGGGAGGTGCCCGGGAAAGCAGCAGTGCCGTGTCAGAGGGACACATGTTAGGTGGGCTGAGGGGAGGGCACACGCATGAGAGGCACTCCACCCACTGGGGGCCAGAGGATGGAGCAGGAATGAGTGTTCCAGGCAGAGTCCTCAGCGTGTCCCCCACGGGGTGTGCCTCGGTCTCCTCTGACCTCTGGCGCGGAGGCTGTCGCCCATTTAGTGGTCTGTGCACATGCTCTGTTGGTGACTGATGATCCGAGGGCAGGGACGTGGCCGGCCATCCCAGCCAGACTCGTGCCCCCTTGTCCCCCAGGCACTCTTCCACGTACTGTGTGAGCTGAGGCCCTGGCACTCTGTGAGCCCCCCGACCTTGGGGACACACGTGCAGGCGGCCGGGTTTGTGCTCTCTGCCGCCCAGCCCGGCTCCGACTCCATTTCTGTCCCTCACGTGAGTGCGTTCGTTGGTCCTGTAGGACTGCTCCTCTGCAGGTACACACAAAGGAACCAGACATCGTTATCAAACCACGATGGAAAAGCCAAGCTCATTTAGCCCACCATGGCCCCGTCACGCCAACATACCGACCTGTGTTCGTGTTGCCCATTTCCCTTCCAGGCCCTGTCCACACGGCAGGTAGGGTTGTATGCAGGTGTGGTGTTGCCTTCCCCGCCCCCCCCCACCTGGTTGGCGAGATGGATCAGTTAAGAAACGGCCACCAGGTGGTGCCAGAGCGCCAGCATCCGGCCGCAGCCTCCTAGGACCGTAATGCTGGGCGGCGGGCCACCCTGCCGGCGCTTGTCTGTGAAAGTTCACTTTCAGTTTTCTCCCCAAATGCTGTGTTGCTCACAAGTGGTTTCCATACTTATTTTAAAAGAAATCAAACAATACTGAAGTGTACAAAAAGACAGTAACGTGCCACACGATGACATCTTTGTGGCAGATACAAACAGTTGAATGATAATATCCTGTACTTCTCAGTGTGTTCACATGTATGCATGGGTTACATGTCCAGGTGCCACTTTCTCAGTAAGCACGTCTCACACCCTCATTTAAAATTGTAAACCTGCCCCCTCCTCACCCTGCCTACCTCTTTTCCTGCTTTCCTTTTTCTGTATTACTCATCACCAGCTGACACACCATGTATTTTACTGAGCCCTTTGTTCATTGTGTTTCCTCTGCTAGAATGTGCTGGGGGATTTATGGTGTTTTCTTCATTGCTCCATGCCCAGCACCAAAAATATAGTGCCTGACATACTAGACTTTCACTGAGTTCATGTTGAATGGATGACCCAGAGTGCATATGTCCTCAATTTGTGGACATCTTTCTCTGGCCAGAAATATTGATCTACCTCATCCTTTTAATCACCTGCTTAGTGTCTCCTTGGAATGAACGCACTCTAATTGTACCAAAACACGCTGGTGTGGTCCAGTGTTTTCCGGCCTTCCTGTGGGAGATGTCACGTCGGTGACCTTGCCGGGACCTACTCTCTGGTTGCCTGCCCGTTGATATCCTCGCTCTACTCAGACCCTGGACTCAGTGCCTCATAAACAACATCTCCTGCTGTCCTTACACCGTATGCCTTGTGCCCGAGAAAGGTGCTGCCGTCGGGTGGGGGAGCTGAGGCCAGAGCATGAGCACCTGCCCAGGGCCACACCTCCGCGCAGAGCGGGGCCGGGGCCCTGGGGGGTCCCCGCTGCATCAGGGACATCGCTTCATCTTCTCTCACATGACACTTCACACTCCCTTTCTCCAGTTTATTGATTGCCTTTCATCTTTTCCATGATGTCTTTTTCTGTGCAGATATTTTCATTTTTAATGATAAATCTGCCAAGAGCTTCCTATGTTTTCTGGCTTTTATATCACCCTAGAGAGGACCTCTTTACCCCAAGATGATAAAAAAAAAAGATTTGTGTTCCCTCTGGTATTTTTATGGAGATATATTTGTTTGATTAAGTATTTAACCTATCAGAATTTAATCTTAGATGATGTTGCGGAAGATTTTAAACAAATCCCCACCTCAAGTGAATAGTAAATTGTTTCATCAACATTTATTGAATAATCTCCGCTGTTTGAAAGGCCATCTTGATCAGACATTAATTCTCATACATGCTTGATCCTATTTCCTGGCCTGTGTTCTCCTCTGCTGATCCATTTATCTCTGTGTGTGTGTCATTTATGGGCTGTGGCTTCCTGGCAGAACATGTCCCTTCTCATTATACTTCTTTTTTGAAAACTTCTTAGCTATTTCTAATTTTTCTTCCAGGTAAAATTTTAAATCAGTTTGCTGAATTCCAAAATGAATCCCCTTAGGATTTTGGGTTAACTTGTATTTTACTTATAGATCAACTGGGGAGAATGGATACCTTATTCAGAGACATGAAATGTCTTTCCTTAGGTCTTCTCTTTCGTCTTTCAGTAAAATTTCATAGTTTACTTAAAAAGATTTTTGTACATTTGTTTTAAAGTTTCTTTCTGGTATCTTTTTCTTCTGTGAGGCTCTCCAGCCATGACATTTTCTAGCCAGTTATTACTTGGCTGGGAGAAGGCTGATTTTATAGCCAAATGTCCAACCCTCAGAGCCTTCCCTCAATCCAGTGCCATTGGCTTCAGATCTTCTAGGAATTCTTAATTTCTGGTTTGTCGATGTCATCCTTCTCTGCATTTCAACACTGCAACACATTCCTTATTCTTCTTGTTTTTCCATTTCAACAAGGTTTGGGCAGGGGAGGGCAAGTCTGTGGGCCTAGTTCATTGACTTGAACCCCAAGTCCATATGCAGTTTGACACGAAAATGTCATTGCCTCTGTGCACTTTGGCCACCCCCCTCCCACCCCTCAGTGTTCTCCATGGAATGTGGGATGGATCCTGAAGACAGTCTAAACCGTGGTGGGCGTTTCCCTTAAGCTTCTGGCTCCGACCCATGAGACATGCTCTTCAGTCCTGGTAAGGTTTGCCATGCTGCCGCCAGAC